TTGAACAGGAGTAAGGTGTCATGTACATTTATATTCAGGCTGTCCCAAGATATTTGTTTTATTACATTGTGTGCATTTACTGGGGAAAAGGGTAATTGTGAAGGTTGCCATATGCCTTTAGAGGTGTCTCGCGTCCAAGCGATGCAGCGCTCCCAGTTTAAACTGTAGATACCTAAACCCCTATATCAAATTAAAGCTTATAGAGCTGGCTATCAAACTATTCCAAAAATTTTTAAAGGATTTTTTACAACCTCTAAATGTGAACGTTCAGATCACCTTTTGCAAGCTACAAGTCAAAGCAAATTTTGCTTTTTGCATATTTAATTATTTGTCCATCAATTTCCAGACCCAAAGTGTTAAAAAAATTGGTCTGCGATTTTCAATGCGGTAAACAACCCTTATAAGCCTGGGCTTTTACAACTTCGTTATGGCTTTTAGATGGTCTTATAAATGGTGAGGCTTATTTCTGAAGGGGCTTATAAATGGCAGTTTACAGTATTCGTTGTCACTGAAAAGTTACAGAACGTTTTCGAAATATATGGAGTAATTGTGGAAAAATTGCTTGGAGAAAAAATGTTTGGAAATGAGCTTTAATAAGCTTTAATTTGATATAGGGGTTTAGGTATCTCCAGTTAAAACCAGACCTGCTCCATCCCTNAGAAGTTGATATGAATTGCCCTGCAGTTTCACAAAAGGACACAGCATTATTAACAGTTGGCCAATTTATTTTGTGTATGTGAGACTTCAGTTGGAATTGTATTGAACAGGAGTAAGGTGTTATGTACATTTATATTCAAGCTGTCCCAAGATATTTGTTTTATTACATTGTATGCATTTACTGGGGAAAAGGGTAATTGTGAAGGTTGCCATATGCCTTTAGAGTTGTCTCGCATCCAAGCGATGCAGCGCTCCCAGTTTAAACTGTAGATACCTAAACCCCTATATCAAATTAAAGCTTATAGAACTGGCTATCAAACTATTCTAAAAATTTTTTAAAAATTTCTTATGACCTCCAAATATGAACGTTCAGATCACCTTTTGAAAGCTACAAGGCGAATTTTGCTTTTGCATATTTAATTTGTCCATCAGTTTCCAGACCCAAATTGTTAAAAAAGTTGGTCTGTGATTTTCAATGCGGTAAACAACCTTACAAGCCTGGGCTTTTACAACTTCGTAATGGCTTTTAGATGGTCTTATAAATGGTGGGGCTTATTTCTGAAGGGGCTTATAAATGGCAGTTTACAGTATTCATTGTCATTGAAAAGTTACCGAACGTTTTCGAAATATATGGAGTAATCGTGGAAAAATTGCTTGGAGAAAAAATATTTGGAAATGCGCTTTAATAAGCTTTAATTTGATATAGGGGTTTAGGTATCTCCAGTTAAAACCAGACCTGCTGCATCCCTTGGACGCAAGATACGGTATGCGGTAACCTCAAGCAGCAAATACCACTAAGTGACAATTTGAGAGGAACATTAGGACAACAACTAGGACATTTTGAGAGGAACTTTACACATGTTCAAGAGCAAGTATATATATGCAAGTTTCTGTGATTATGAAC